GCTAGCTGAAATTTCTTAGTCCCATATTTATTTTGAATGTAATCAGTCCATCTTCTCCATTCCAACTTGCATTTCTCATCTGAATGGTCCTTCAAGTGTGCTGATATTTTAGCCATCTCTGCTAAGTTTGTTATTTTTAATATCCATTCTTGTATAGTAGGCAATTCTTCCTTCTTCCAGTACTACGCCACCAACAATCTTGCCACCGTTGTTAAGTTCAGAATCAAATTAGTCTCTATAATCTGTAATTATACCTAACAAGAATAACTGAGGAGTAAACTTTATCCTCTTTTAAAGAATATTTCGAATAATCCACCATATTTTTATCCAAAATGCTTTGACTTTTTTACAAGTCCACCATATATGATAACACGTAGCATCAGCACAATCACATCTCTTGTTTGTTTACTTTTCATCCACCACCACCACCACCCAAAAAATCCCCCCTCCCTCCATTTGGAGAATGAATCAGCCAGAAAATCAGCAGATGTCACAGTTGAATAGCAGATAGATGGAGAAACAATTAAGGTTGCTGGTGGCAGCAGTGGTTGACATCGTAAGCAAAGGTTGAGAAGGAAGCCGTGAAAACATAAAGAAAAATGCAGGAACGAGAGGCTGTCCTTACCTTTTCTACTGTGTCCTCAATGAGATTATTTCCAACTGGGATTAAAATTCCCCCGAGGATGGCTAACGCTGCCCCAATGATTGCTCCTGTCAGCAAGCCACATTTCTGATTGCACCCCATTGTTCTTCACACCTTTGCAGGTCCTTGCTGCGGCTCCTTCTGTTCCTTTGGCCGGCTGTTGTGTGATGTTGGCTCAAAATATGTATCAGAGAGATCTATTCCCGTTTTGCAAAGAGGTTAAAGTACAAGGTTCGGTATCAACGCTCAGTGGAAGATCATTGAGAAACACATTGGGGGGGGGAGCAATTAAGAGTTAGAATAGCAAACACCAAGAGTCAACATCATTGAACAAATTGAGATTGACAAAGCATTTTCGGTTTAATATCAGAGTTACTGTAACTTTTCTTCTTTCTTATCAGTTGATTCAGAAGTAAAGATGAGTAAGCAATAATTTCAGACGGGATTGTCCCTCTCTTTCTGAAATAACTCCACGTTTTGCTCCAGAAACTGTGTGGGTGGGATGAATAGAATAGAATAGAAGAAAATAGAAAATAGAATAGAACATAGAATAGACTAGAATAGATATTGGAATGAAGATAAGAATAGAATAGAATATAGAATATAGAATATAGAATATAGAATATGGAATATAGAATATAGAATATGGAATATGGAATACGGAATACGGAATACGGAATACGGAATACGGAATACAGAATAGAATATAGAATATAGAATATAGAATATAGAATATAGAATATAGAATATAGAATA